TTTTTATTTGTGTTAAACACAAGACATAAGAACAATACAGATAAAACAATGACACTCACAAGAGGAAAATGACAGAGGTTAAAATGTTTAGATTCTAAATCTACAACAATGTTATGCCATTTTCTGTCCTACTTTATGAAGCCACATGCTTATACATATTTAAAAGTACAGTTTAAAGCATATTTGTACGATACATATTTAAAGTGCACATCAGGATAACATATACAGAACATGTTCACTCCTACACATAGATGATTCCATAAGCTTTAGAGTTCATTAGGTATTTATGTATGGTGTCCTTGACTCACTGTGTGGGTTCTGTTGGGTTGGAACATACAGTTGAAGTCGGAAGTTTACATACACTTAGGTTGGAGTCATTAAACCTTGTTTTTCAACCACTCCACACATTTCTTGTTAACAAACTATAGTTTTGGCAAGTCGGTTAGGACATTTACTTTGTGCAAGTAATTTTCCAACAAATGTTTACAGACAGATTATTTCACTTATAATTCACTGTGTCACAATTCCAGTGGGTCAAAAGTTTACATACACTAAGTTGACTGTGCCTTTAAACAACTTGGAAAATTCCAGAAAATGATGTCATGGCTTTAGCAGCTTCTGATAGGCTAATTGACATTATTTGAGTCAATTGGATGTGTACCTGTGGATGTATATCAATGCCTACCTTCAAACTCAGTGCCTCTTTGCTTGACATCATCTGAGTTTAATTCAATAAGAGAAAAGCTGGGAAATGGAGAATTGAAAATAAATAGGACCAGAACAGTAGTCTACTGTTTGGGAAAGATTTGGTGAAGTGGTAAAAGAGGATGATGGCTATGTTATGTGTGCTGATTGTGAGGCGCTATACAAATTTGACAGTCACCAGACGGGGACTTCAAATATGGCACGTCAAGGGAACTGTACTGTTCAGATGGGTTAAATAGAATAGTAACTGAAATCTGGACACTGACTATAGGTCTATAACCTCTCACATTGCCTAATATAATAGGCTATTAATTCCTGTAGAATTAAGCATTTGTTGCAGTAAAATGATATACTGAACTTACATTTTGACTCAGGGACAGGAGTGGAGAAATAGGATTTCTTTCTTTCAGCATCTTGAGACAATGTGAATGCGCGATAGGGACAGTCTGTGCAGGGACCGTCTTTATTAGCATCATATAAGCTGATAGTATTTCAACCACTTAGCTAAAATATGCATCCAAGCTGAACTGAAATCTTATCAGAAACATGTTGCGTCATTTTCACAGCTTTTATTTTCCATTAAACCGGTCAAACAGAAAATCTTTCCTGTTTTTTTTTGCTATTGCATTTTCTACCCGGTCCCTAAATGTCCTTGCTCCGCAAGAGAAGCAGATATGAAAGAGAAAAGATTGAAGCATTCATTCTATAATGTATTATTATTATTCTGGTGAGCAAGGGTGTCTTTAGTCTTCTAGGGCAACAAGTAATGACAGTAGAGATGCTGCATGTATTTAATTATTGATAAGTTGACTAAAAGATAGCCTACCAAAATGTCGGAATTTATAAGCAGAAACGTCAAAAGATCTCCCACCCCCTGTCAAAACATTATTCCGGCGTCTCTGTACAGTGCATTGTCTATATTTGCGGGTTAGGGTCGGGTGCAGGCCTACAATTTTTACTTCATCACATATAGTCGGGCGGTTGCCGATGGGTTATTAGGGCGGGCAGGTCTTGTCACTTCCTGACCACTCTGAAGATGTAAAGACTGGTATCTGTGCTCACTCAAAACAAGCTTTCTGACGTGACTCTGCCAGAATGGAAACAGAAAGTGTGAAATCCACTCAATGGGCACTATAGAGCCTGAGTACTTCTGTGTCCTGTCTGAGAAGTGCTGACACTAAAGACAGTGATAGGGGTTGGTTGTACTCTTGACACTCACACCTCACCAGTGTTATAGCCATCAGTCTTGTGTGCTTTCAAGGTCATCACTCACTCACTGTAAAGTTTGTCAAGGTCCCGACATCAGTTCTACCTGCAACCAAAAAGGGTTCTTCAAAGGGTTCCCTTTAAGGTTCAAATGGCACTTTTTTTCTAAGAGTGTACCCTCGCTTGGCCCTTCTCTGGTCTACTGATGCGATTAAGTCCTTGAACTCAGGTGGGCGCCAGGATGGGGATGTCACAATAAACACGTTGGGGTCTTCTGGGTCTGTCTCCACATCAGACTTCATGTCTTCAGTAGCCCCCTCAAAGCGCTGCCTTTCTTCAGCAGAGAGTTCATTCATCCGACTAGCTAAGGCCTGTGAAATACAATAGACAATAAGTTATCCTAATAAACTGGTCATGATGCGCGAAGAAATGCTAATAACGGTCCCATGCTAAACCATTAGCATTTGGAAACAGTGCCAGGAAAACTAAACCAAAGCTTGAATTGTCATACCATGTCTACAGACTGCTTACAGGGTAAGGAAACCAATGTGTCATTGTGTAATTTGGGTGAACTATCCCTTTAAAATATATAGATTGGTTCACATTTATAAACTAACCCATCTCTGGCGACTCAGCATTCACTTTTTTGTATCCTTCTCTGATGCTCTGTCTGGCCTGTCCGACGATCAATGCTTCTCTCGTTCAGCCCAATATCGGTTTGCGGCTGCATTTGTGAGGAATGAGTCAGTGGAGTCGGAGGAGTTAGTGTGGTGTATTAGCTATGGTTTTATGCATCAAAATCCTTGAGAAAATGGTACGATGTTGAACTATGTTAGTCAGTCCATGTCTTTATGGGACTAACTCACCTTCAAAGTCTGCTTTGCTCCACTCTCCAGTATACGGGTGTTGCGGACTGGTCTTACTGAGACATGAGAAAGAAAAAAACATGAAATTACGTTTTTGCATGATATTCACACAACTATGTCATGCAACATATTTGGGAATGTATAACAATCATAAATCAATGTCACGCCCTGGCTCTGGGGACTCTTAAATGTTGAGCCAGGGTGTGTAGTGTCTATGTTTTGTTTTCTTTGTTTTTGTTTCTTTCTAGATCGTTTATTTCTATGTTGGCCAGGGTGGTTCCCAATTAGAGACAGCTGTGGCTCGTTGTCTCTGATTGGGAACCATACTTAGGCAGCCTGTTTTGCACTTGTCATTTGTGGGATCTTGTTCTGTATAGGTTTGTGTTGGTGAACCTGTAGACTTCACGTATCGTTTGTTGTTTTGTTATTTGTATCAAGTACTCATTAAAAGATGTACGCATATCACGCTGCGCCTTGGTCCGGTTCTTACGACGATCGTGACAGAAGATCCCACCAAAACAGGACCAAGCAGCGTGTCCAGGAGCAAACGCCGGAGGTAACGTTGGTAGATGTCCTCCTCGGTTGGGGGAGGATCACCGAGGAGGAGGCCGTCCGTTACCGGAGGGCGATGAATGGGGAGACCCAGGCAGGAGAGGAGAAGCGGCGCCAACCGGGCCGTCGTCGGACAGGCGAGAGGCAACCCCAATAAAACATTTAGGGGGGGCACACGGCGTGGACGACGGGGCAGCAGGAGGCAGCTACAGGGCGAATCTGCAGAATAGGAGAGGAGGCCACCAGGTTACGGGGGCTATTGGTCATGAGGGAGCAGGAGTTAAATGGTCAGAGGGAGGAGCTACAGGAGGCGTTAAGGGAGAAGGAGAGTGTAGAGGCACGGCGAGAGGAACTGAGTAGGCAGCAGAGGGAGCGGAGGTTTATGAGGAAACCCAGTCCCGCTCCTCGCACCAAGCAAGTGGTGTGTGTCACCAGTCCGGTCCGGCCCGTTCCTGATCCC